TGCCTACCACCAGCATTTGATTCTATGACTTATTACAGTTTTTCTGCCTCTTGGGTTTATACAAGACCCAAAAACTTCCCTCTTCTGTCTTGTTCTAAAATCTTCCTTCCATACATCAATTACATTTTTTTTTCCCCCTGATGTATATGTAATGCTATTAAAACTCACTCCATTTAAAAAAAAATAAATTCAGGTTCCAAAACTTTATTTGTCCATCCCTCTGAGCATGAATTGTGCCATAGCTATAACATGATTATGTTGCTTAGGACAAATGAAGAAAAAAAGATGGACAAACTGCCATTCATACAATTTGTTTGCATAATTATGGTACTCTTGATCTGCTGATCAGCTCTACAACTTGTGTTCCAACTGATCTTTCACTGATAGCAACACTTCATAAAATCATAGAATGGATTGAGTTTGAAGGGACCTTAAAGATCATCAAGTTCCAAACCTCTGCACGGGCAGGGACACCTCCCACTAGACCAGGTTGCTACAAGCCCCATCGATTTACTAAATGGGATTAAAAACATCCACTGCTTTAGGAAAGAAAAAAAAACACAAGCTAGTGAAAAGTAGCTCTAATATTTTGGGAGCTGCTCAGGGGAGCTGCTTTCTTGGACGTGAGAGAAAGGTCCACATACTTTCATAAAGGGCCAGAAGAAATGCATAAAATGTGACAAACACTAGAATAGGTTCTTCCCTTGCACATTTTCACAGCTTCCAAAAAATGAGCAGCTCAGGGACTTGGCTAATTCAGAAGCAGCCTTGGATAAACCTGTCCAATAGGCAGTGATACACCTATTTTCCAAGAAGTCCAATAGGCTTCATTCAGAAGCTATTTATACTTTACCATTTCATAATCTGTTGAGGTTCTCCTTGATTCTTCTGATTTTTTTCCAACAACTCTTTTTAAGACAGGAGTACATACACTACTAAAAAAAGTGGATGACTCTGCATTTACATAGCAACATAATAAGTTTTTATGTTCCCACAGAGAAAAATTGAAAATCAGTTCTTCCACAGCACTATTTAATAGCAAGCATTATGAAGCTACCTTTAATTAGAAAATAATTTGCTATGTTCTGCCTCAGGACACCAATTCAATTCAATAAAAAGAAGCTGACATAAATACTCTCAGGTGCCAACAACTTTGTGTAACATCAGCACTTGACTGCACTCAGAAGCACGGAGACAACCAGGTCAGTTTTGAAGCTGAAAACCTGTAGGAACTGGCTAAAAGTTTTTGAAAGGCTTGAGGAGATTTCCAAGGCAAGTTGTAAGAGAAAAGCAGATAAACATAGTTTAAAAGCCTATGCAGAAAATCGTTGTAAGCTTTTATGTCAAGATAAAGACTGAGATTTGAAAAAAATTCACTCAAAAGCTACATTATTTTTGATTCCAGGAGCAATGAGATACTCAAAACTGTTTTTAGAATATGAACTTTTTTGGTAGAAAGCAAATATGCTTCTACTTTACCACAATCTCTGCTCACCAATGAGTGGCACTAAAGACTGTGATGCTGCTTCCCTAGAAAAGGCAAGTTTCATCACTGCATCACTAACAGCAACTCTGGGACTTGGAAAAGAAGTTTATTCCACTATGAATTTTCTACCTTGATTTTATTAGAACAGGCAGAAGCCACAGCGCAGTCAGGAACCAGCACTGCAGCAGCAAAATCCACTGCAGGACTCAGCAAAATCTCAAACTAAATTCTTGCATATGAACATACACTATTCTTAGTGCTACAGCAGGCTCCACCAGAGATGCAGAAGAAAGAGAGGAAAAAGTAAGGGAGAAAATAGAAAATTCAAAAACATCCACTGTACTGAAGGACATTGACACACCAGTTACCACTGGTCTCAATGTGGCACTAACCAGAGAGAGCCCAGAAGTTCAAAGTGTCAAGTATTCCATGGATTCCCTGTCCTGGAAAAGTATCTGTTCCCCTTTCTCACATAAAATTTTGACCAAATAATGTATAGATGTTGCATAGGTGCAGCAAGAGGGCCTTCTTTTACACTCGTTGAGGAATAATCAGCTTCATGGTTCATAAACCCTTGGTTAATATTGTGTTTTATAACTTTCCAAATCAGTGGTACTTTCAAATAATTACCAAAATTCTAAGTTTATTCCTAAAATTGCCTTTTAACATAATAAGGTTAATATTAAACCAGCCTAGCAGCTAATATAGGCAGACAGTATAATGCCAACAGTCTAAAGAATAAACTCCAAAAAAGAAGTTGGTAATATGTCCCATAACAATTTTTGCTGGATTTTTAATTTAAACATAGGCAGGTTTTTGAATGTGAAGTGTTCAGCCAAATATAAAATTAAATACTTTTCCTAAACCAGAAACTTTTCAAACACAAAAACGTGCAGGACTCTCCCCATTAGCTTGTACAGATTGGAAGCTAAATTTAATTTTTGAAGAAAAAAAATAATCCTGGATGTTTGCCAGGTTAAAGCCCAAAGCAGACATGTTATGACCCTGATAAAAAGCCCTGTGTATAGGACAGAATTTCATTCCACCGTTACATAAAGAACTGCTTGGCTCCATACTGTCTGTGTGAAATATTAAAAAGTTTGAAAAAGAGGAAGAAGAAAAAGTTTGAAGTCTTTCAAGTAGCATTTTCTAATCTTCCTCTCAATATCTTGGATCAGTTTTACCCTACTTGGTATCTTCTGTTCTTAAAAGTGACTCAGGTAATTCTCGTCCTACATTGATTCAGTATTTAAAAAATAATAATAATTTAAAAAAGGGCTTCTAATCTACATCAAAATACATTTTGTGTAAAGCATTCTTCAGGTAACTTCCTGCAGGGCTCAAATACAAAATGACAATTGATTGAAGTGACAGAGCTTTAATACCTAATAACTGAGAATAAAACCACCTTCCTAGCCAGATAGTCACATGAACACACAAAATAATGCACCAATGCTAAAAAAATCCCTAAATTAAAAGCTATCAGCATCAGACTGAGTGTTTACATTTATTAAGAGCTTCAGAGAAGGTCTTAAGTCTCCCCAGGAATATTACACTAAGGCTACACAAACGTGATGTCAGAGAGAGAAGATGAAAGCAGAGGAGGAATCAGAATCCCAGATTGGTTTGGGTTGGAAGGGACCTTAAAGATCATCTAGCTCCAATGCCCTGTCATTGAGGGTCCCTCCTACCAGACCAGGTTGCTCCAAGCCCCATCCAACCTGCCCTTGAACAGGGATGTGGCATCCACAGCTTCCCTGGCCAAAGATCCCTGGAAATAATTCCATAGATCTTACGGATAAAAACACTGATTTGTCAACAAATATTTACTGTTTTCTCCCTGATTAATACTTCTGTTGTTTAACCTAAGATGGGGTGTGTTTCTAGCTGGCACACTTGAAGGACAGCTCTATGGCAAGTAACAAGGACAAAGTGGAAGTTAAAAATCCATTGAAATTTTAGCAGGATGCACAGAAATCCATCTCCTTCCTGTTCAACATCAATTCCCATGAAAGACTTTACACCTTAAGGTGGTGGAAAGAAGAACTGTCCTTAATGAATCATTTTAAGTTTTCCTCCCCCAGATTAAAAATGTTCCCTGGGTCATGAAACCCAAATCTACACCAGACCCTGCACACTGACCCACACAGAGGTTAGACGAACCCAGAACTAACTGCTTTCCAGAATTTAAGCAGCCATCATGATTTCCCCCTTGCTTCTCCATGATGTTACTGTATTAAAAAAATATAAAAAGTTTTTATCACCCTCTCTGCAGCAACAAGATTTTTAGAGAAAAGCCACGGTGGCACACATGCCATAGCTAAGTATTAGGGTTTGAAATATATTCATTAAATCAAGTCCCTAATCAGGCCAGGTCATAACTTTTAAAAATCTAGTAGATAGCTCCATCTTTCTTGGAATGTTTCCAACTCTTATCTTATTACACTTAACCCAATTTATGGCAGTACTTATAAAAAAGGCAGAAACTACTACTTCTTGTTATGAGTCCTATTATTTTACAAAACAAAGTGCAATAAATTTTATGGCTTTCCACAGTAGCATTACAGAGATCTCAAAAGAAACTAAAAGCTCTCCTTACACCTTTTTGAACCAAAGCCAAAAATAGTGATGTGGTTTTATTATTCTACCAGGAAAGCAGCCCCAGCATGGTAGGTATCACTTCTGCAAGTCCTGCTCTCAAGAACAGAGAAGTCAGGCTAGACAGCTGGTCAATATTGAAGTCTTAGATTTGGAGTAGATAGAAATTACAGACCTAAGGTAGCAGTTCATTAATTCTGCTAATGCAAATGTTGTGCCACCTGCCAGAGAAATGAAGAACTGCTGCTGGCTTAGAACTCCACCAGTAATTTGTTTTGGTTTTCTAATTTATTTATTAGATTAGGATTAGCATCCTGCAAACACAATTTTGAAAGCAGGTTTTATTCATATCCAAGATACAGTCATTGAATCTCAGACAACCAGCTGATGGGAATATTTTTGCACTATTTCTACTGCAAAGATGAGGTCCAGTTGAGAGGAATGTTTGGGAATAAAATATGAATAAAAGGGAGATTTTTAAAACTTTCACACCACTTCATCTGTTAAATGAAACGAGACAACAAAAAAATTAAGGAGATATGTGGGAAAGGTACCAAACAGCTTTAAAGCAGAGAAGATGCTTTTGTCACCAAAAAAGCACTTCCATACCATTATCCCATTTCCAGTGCAAATCTCAGTCCCAGAGATGTACAAATCACACACAAACAGCAGCTCTACTCAACTCATTATTAACATCAGTTTTTTTGTCATGATGGTGCATAATCCCTGACTCTTCAACTCCATTTCCCCCGGGCTGAAGCCAGCAACAGAAGCTTGCTAAAAACCACGATGCTTTCCCTCCCAAATGGAAACTCCAATATTTTACTCCTTAGAACCACTCTGAGACACCATTTCCCCTTGTTTCACTATGTATTTATAAAAAGCTTTTCAAAAAGGTGCATGCAGTGAACTGTACCTCATTTTCGCCACATTCAGGTGGTGTATCCTTGTGTATAGCCATCTGATACTTGGCAAATAAAGTGGCTGACTGGTTGAAGGATGATTTGAACTGGGGGTCCTCAAGGGAGACAGGTACTAACCTCACCTTCAGAGCAAGGAAAATACAAGCATACTATTTTGAGTGCATATAATCAGATAATATGCTTCTGAAGGTAAGGCTAGTGAAAGATCTCCTCCTATCCACTTCAAAGCCTCTGAAGTCAGTTTCCTACTTTAGACATAGTAACAAGAAAATCCTCCTACAGGGGGAAGGCTGACAGCCATCACCACACTAAAATTGGCTGTAGATATTGCCATTAAAGAATAAAAATTGCATAACACGGGAACACTCCAAAGCATCAGTCTATTCAACACGGTTTTTTTACTAACTTATCTAACTAATTATCCACAAATTTTATTTTCATTGTGCTGTCACTCAAGGACTTTTCATATGTATTCTTTTTAATGGCACATTGCTCATTGCCCCAGTTTAGCAATTGCATATTCCTGCTACATTTACTTTTCCTCCAAACTCCTGAATTTTTTTCTTTACAGCATTAGAGAGGTTGTGTGTCTGACAATTAACTATTACACACTGTCTGGTCATTACAAGAAGCAGTAACAATGTGTAATTTAGATGGAGTGCACTAATCACTTCTTGAAAGGCTTAAATTGAGAACAAAGAGGTTTATAAAACTTCTGTGAACCTTAAACCGACAATTTGTATGTGTGATAAGTTCTTCACTCACATGCTGGCCCTGATCATGCTTGTGGAAGCATTCAAACCACAGCCAGTGAGACTAGTTATCCGGGTGAGTGCTCAGCTGGTTTTAGTTCTCAAGGGATTTCTATTTATAAGGCCCATAATTTCTACCTCCAAAAGTCTCATCCTCTCCATCTCTTACCCATAGCAACCCCATGTACCTTCTTTAACTTTGCTGTCTGCAATTAAGACCAAATGAGATATCAAAAGGGTTTTGCACTTTCAGGACACTGATTTTATTTGATAACGTTTTACATGCTCCTCAATACACAATGGATATAAAATCCACATTTGTTTCTTCTAGAAACAAGACACACAAAATGGAGGGGAAGTTGAGCTTTGCATAAAATTCATTTGGCCTTCTGACCTGATTTATAGTTGGTTTATCAGGTGGGTCCTTGTGAATAACCATCTGGTAACGTTTATAGACCTGGTAAGACTCCTGAAGTGTGGCTTTGAACTGTGAACTTGGTGGAGATGATCTCACCACCCTCACCTTCAGAAGAAGTTAAACACATTTATTATTACAGTATCATGAAAGAACTATATATTAATACATATACAAACATCACAACTGAGGGAATTTTTTACTTCTCACACGAGGGCCCTAATAATTTAATTAATACCAGTCAAAAGCCTTCTAATTCTTCAGCTTAATTTAGGCTACTGAAGGCTTTTATATTTACACTGAATAACACAAAGTTTTCAAACTGCAAATTAAGATGACTAAAATGCCTATAGAATAAGTACAGGAAACAATACCAACAAATGGTATGCAGACTGACATTTTAAAGAAGTTTTCTGTATTTACAAAAGTCTTCTCTTGGAGTTTCACATTATACTGAAAAATACTTGAAGGACCCATGCATTTGGAAGACTCATGTCTGTGCTCTTTAGACAAAGACCACTTTTTTTGCACTAATTCCAAGAGGAATGATCTCTTGATACATCTCAAATTGAAAGAGGAAGATGAAACAATGTTTCCATATTCAATTACAAGTTAATTGCAATTGTCATCAGTCTTCCTCACCATCACCCTGACACACACAAAAATAATAATTTTTAAAAAATCTGTAAACTAGAAATTGTTCTTAGTAAAAATAATTGCCCCCTAACCAAAAGAATGCTAAGCAACAGTGTCTCTCTTCTCAAGCATATTTAAGAATATACCCATCTCAAAAAACACTTATTTTTCAGTATGGTTCTGTTCTCACAAATAGCAGGGGTTCTGATTCCAAAACCCGAAGCCAACCAAACAAGAAAACAACACACTTGACAGTCATAGTAAGGGGCAAAGATAATCTGGGACAACACTGCTGGAACCATCTTCCTTTTAATTCTCCTCTCATTTTCTAAATGAAGATGTTCAGAGAAAACCATGATACTTCTGTTACACAAGTTACCAGAAAATCTACAGGAGTGAGATGGATCAATTTCATGGCTTCTTGGCAGCTACTTAGGGTGAATCTATTAAGTCACCATCATTACCTCTTTGAATAATTATCAAAAGAATTTTCAACATTTAACTTCCAATACCATCACTGATGATAGTAACTCCAAGAAAACACTTCTATGCAGATAGTTTTCCAGCTTTCAGGGGGAAAAAAAACACTGGTTTATGGCTTAGAAAGCCCAAAAGTCTTCCAGGTGACTGTCTCCATATCACTAATGGATTTAATGGCAACCAGGATGTTAAGCAAAATTTTCCACCATCGTTTTTACAGCTTCCAAAGACATCAACAGATATCAAAGACATTTATAAAGAGCAGCTCTCTTCTTATCTGTTTAATTTTATGAACCATTGCTGCTTTCTTGTCGAGATTCATTAGTGAAGTTAGTTTAAGTATTTATATTCTGCAGAACTAAATATTGAATCTCATCATTCAACACTCAGTTCATTTAAAGTCTTTAAGGTTCCAGTCACACCGTACAACATAAACTCACAAGTTATTTTGGTAACTTGTACTGGTCTCTGTTACGACTACAAGTGCAAGAGTACCCTCTTGTGGTTACACAGAGCTCAGCTGCACCATAAACATACCATGCAGTACCATATTTATTCCAAGATTTAAACCAAAATCATTCCATAAAGTCCCAGATACTCAACAACTAAGCATTTTAAAAACTCTCTAACTGGACTTTTCTTTAATTTACCTCCAACAACAGTGAACGAGACGTTACCTCTAATTTGTGTGGCGCATCATCAGGTAAAGAGACAAAAATGAAGTCTTCAATGGTTTTAGGTTGGTTTGTTTTAGATTTAGAGTTTTGAGAGAGGAGAACTTGATCTCCTGCTTGAAGCTGGGAGCCTTCTAACGTGCACATCTGCTTCTGAAGGAGCTTCTGCAGTTTTCTTTCTTTCCGGATGTCCTTTGCTTTTCGACACGGCGGCTTGCTCAGGTCAGCCCCTTTCCCTGCAAAGGCACAGGCAAAGAATTAAACAACTTGCAACAAACAGGCAGTTCTTACACAACCACAGAAAAGAAACTGTTAAAATCACCACTAAGTGCAAACTGTGGCCTGAACAAAACATGGTCTCTGGTGTTTACAACTGCCAACAATGCCCAACACCAAGCGAAGGGTCAATGATTTTTCCTCTACGGCTGTTTAAAGCAGCACTTTCATATGGAAAAACCTTGACCATGATTCCATCCCAGAGCCAAGGTTATATTTAAAAATGAAAAGGAAAATACTCCGTGTCTTTAAAAAAAAGTCTGAAAAGTCTGTCCATAAATCATTACACCACATCCCTCTCCCAGTGACAGAGAAAAGCTCCTGTTTGATACATGGGAGAGTGATGTGCTATAGCTACAGGATCAGTCTGAAATACTAAAAGGAAAAAAACACCAAAACTACAAAACCTCCAAGGCAGATTCCTAAAGAGTTGTCCTACTGCATTAAGAAACCCAGGTAGCTACAGAAGAGACTCCTGTAAAATACAAATGCACAAGAAAAAGTGTTTACTTTTTTGTGACCTTATGCAGGATATGGAAATACCACTAATGTGATGTAAAAGAAGAGCAAAAGGCCACTTCAGCTGATATCTTTGCTTGAAGTTATATTCAATGTTTTAACTCACTGACTCACTTTTCTCAATTTACCTGTCTTCAATAGATCAACCATTCATAATGTTCTATTTGTGAAATGTTATTCACTTAAAAGTCAAACATAGGAAAAATATATGGATCAGGCTGGAAAGCAGTACACAGCAGTGCAAGAACTCAGTCTTAAAGTAACAGAAATCCCAAGACATGCACACAAAAATTCAAGTGGTCCAAACTCCTCAACTGATGTAAGATAACACAGAATTTTCTTCAATTAAAAAAAAAAAAAAGAGACAGCTGGTACCCATGGTACCTACTTAAGGCAGTGAAAGGATGGGTACCTAATTATCTACTTACAAGTAGCAATTTCCCTAAACTGTATGATTTTAATCAATACTGATTGCAAAACAAATTTCTAAGCATTACAAAAAGCAAGAAACACTTGGCTAACTCTTCTCAGTTCTGCCTAAAATGTGGACATCACTTTTGGCTGTTCCATGTCGTGCACACCAGTGACTAAACACCACACCTCCCTCCAGGAGCTGTCTCAGAGCTGTATGAATCTGCTGCACTACTGGAAATAGTGGTGGAAAAAATAATCAATTTTCAAGGAATACCTGTCTCAGCTTAGCAGCTGCTCTTGGAAGTTCCATACAGAGGGAAAGCTGTATTCAAAAATCACACCAGCAGCCAGCTAATGTCACACAAAATACCTCAAGTTTTGCATTTTTTATTACTTTGCAAGGCAGTTGTAGATGGGTTACAGGCCAAAAAAAAAAAAGCCATAATATAAACAATTCCAGAAAGAGATCAAGAGTGGAAAAAACTACTCCCATGTAAGGAAATATAGTCATATATCTTGCATAGAACCAAAACTGCCACAAATACTCTATTATTCTATGAAATATTAGTACAAACTGCTGAAGAAGTTCTTTATGCCATTAGCTTCCTCCCAAAATCCATGTATTTGAAAAACACAACTGGCAACTTTTAGACTTACTTTTTCAAATGAGGAAGTACCCTGAATAGTGAGGTTCTTTCATTTGAAGTATTAGGAAGAAGGCATTTCCAACTCTGTTAACATTTATATGAAGATTCCAAACCCATACTTAACTACAGCTTATCCCACTTTACTCTTTTGAAGGCCTGGAAATTACATGGAAATTGTTTTTCCCAGTATTCCTATGAAAGTGTAGTTAGATCTCCTTTTGCTGCTCATTCTTCTTACCTGTAACCTATTAGCCAAAATTGACATATTTAATGTCCTCTACCTGCTTCAGACCATCCCCTGGACAATGGGAACATCCTTCCACAAACTGGAAATGGTGAGAGCACTGGTATTCTGCAAGCTCACTGATGTGTTTAGAGCCACTTCACCTGCAAAGAACTGCAGCCCTCAGAGCAGCTGCCTTTGTCTTTCTTTACCAATAGATACATCAAAGAAACTGGCAAAATACTTTGTACTGGGATAAACTTTTAAGCACCAGTAAGGCTGCAGGCTATTCTTTTTAAAGTGCATACCATAGAGAATTGACAGAGTTTTTAAGTGTCCTCCTGGGGCAAGGAAGTAGCAAGCTCTATACAGAAAATTCCCAGACCAGTTTTTCCATGTAGACTTCATGACAGCTGAAATGTTGACAGCATCTCAGGGACTTAGGAAAAAGGAGCCAGTACCACTTCAGCACTCTTCAGACACCCTGCAAATGCACTAGCAGATCTGATGATCGAGTGGTCTTACCTCTCAGCTAAGGTTTTTTGAGTGTCTTTCATTCATCCAACTAAAATTATTCAACAGAAACGGATAAATATTATTAAGAAACTACAGATACTATGTGACCTGCCCATGGGCAAACAAGTCAGAGGAAGAGTTATTTAAAACACTCATGATACATTTGAAGAATGAGTATTTCATCTATGTCAGGATCTGTTTCATGTCTCATAGCTTCTGTAAGCTCTAAGTTAGCAAGTAAGAGTTCTTAAAACAATGAATGTGCATGGAGACATAAGCAAACCTTCTTTTCTATCTGAAACTGTGCAGATACTTTGTCCTATACATTGTCCTATAGGACAATGACCTGTTTTGTTTATAAAGGAATAAAATGTAATTAAACAATCTTATTAGAAAGTAAGTCTACATTTTCCAGCATGAAAACTAAACATCTTTCTAGCTGGAAAATTTTAAACTAAATTTGACCTGTGACACCACCTACCTTAAAAATATATATATATAAAAAATTAAAGATAAATTAAATGAGCTTTCTGGTGCATTTATTATGCACTTTTATACCTCATTCAACAGCTCCACAAAGAAACAAGCACAGTTATGAGTATTTCTCCCCTATAGGAGTAAACCAAATTCTTTTGAAACAATGTTTCAAGCTTGCTTTATTTGTATTTGCAGTGTTTAAAGTTTTACCCAATGTTACTCTTAACACAACCGAAGACCTCACCTTTTTCAAAACAATGACAGGTTTACATTAATAATCTTTACCCAAGGCTGCCACCTGCTGTCAATGCCCACTTAGTTTGCTTCCAAAACAAAGTTAACACAGTTTTTCATTACCTATTTTAAAAAAGATTAAAAATAGAAGATATCTATAAAAAAAAAAATAATGGAATGTTTGCATGACAAACAGAAGTTCTATAAACTATTTGAGGGCTACAAAAGCTTTGACTACATTGTATAAATTCAAAATACAAAATATAGTCTTAAAAATTCTAGACAGGTTTTCCAGGAATGTGGAACTGTACTATTTCCATGCAGGACTGCTGGTTTTCTGATCAAGCATTTCTGACTCTCCTTTTTGTTTGGATGCAAAATTCCTTGTTATGCTGAAGAAAACCTGAACCAATCAGAACACACATTTATTAAGGCCAAATCCCACCATGTTAGTTGAAATCAACTAACCTATAGAAGAAAAATCTTTGTGAAAGAAAAAGTACTTGGAAGTTCAAAAAATTACCAGCACAACATGTAATAGGGGAGTAAAACTAGTAATTATGATGTCCCAAAAGAAGGAGAAATTCTAAAATATCCAGTCTGCACCAGGATTTTAACATTACCCACCATGTATTTGCTAACTGCAATGCAGAAAAAAACCCTTTATTTTTCTGAAGAGGCCTTTGTAGAGGCTGTGCAGAAATGGCAACACGATCTGTAAGACAAGGCAACCTGTGGACCACAAAGAATCATGGAATCATAGACTGGTGAAGGTTGGAAGGGACCTTAAAGATCATCAAGTTTCAACCTCCCTGCCATGAGCAGGGACACCTCCCACCAGACCAGACTGCACAAGCCTCATCCAACCTGCCCTTGAGCACCTCCAGGGATGGGGCTTCCACAACCTCCCTGGGCAACCTATTCCAGCACCTTCCTGCTCTCATGGTGAAGAATTTCTTCCTGATGTCTAACCTAAATGTCTCCTCTTTCAGTTTAAAACCATTATTCCTTGTCCTGTCACTCAACTCTCTGGTGAAATGTCCCTACCCAGCATTCCTGAAGCCCCTTCAGCCACCAGAAGGTGCTCTAGGGTCTCCTCAAAGCCTTCTCTTCTCCAGGCTGAATAGCTCCAGTTCTCTCAGCCTGTCCTATAAACAATTCTACGTTCTTTCCCAGTGCAGACTGTTGCTTAAATGAATTCTTCTGGCAATAATCCAACCACCCCTGACCATTTTCCTTCCAGAAACTCCCCATGTCCCACAGGAAGGAAGCCAGGACAGAAGAGAAGCAGAGGCAATCCGCAGCACTCTGCAGGCACGTCCTGGTAGCAGTAGTTTCCAACATTTCTTCTTCCCTTGAGGACACTCATGGAATTCTCTGCACGACCTCACTGCACAGAAGAACAGCCACCAGCTGTGACCAGTTCTTCCCTGTCACAACAAGCAGCATGAAAAGTTTAACACTGCTGCAAGCAGATGGAGATCCCAGGCTCTGGTACCACAGCAAAGGGTACCCTGACAACTTACATAAAAAAAAGACTACACAGATTAGCTTCTTTCAGGGTAGTTTTCATGTTCAAATTCAGCCCACAGACACCAATTCAGAAAAATTTACAACATGAAACTCAGATTGAAGGATAACTTTCATACTGAAAAAAGTGACCATCTTATTGATTATTGTAATAAAAAAGCCATCAATATTTTAAGTAGTTTCACACAAAACTCTAGAAATCAATAAGTATTTACTTTCAGGTTTTGGCACCTGAGAGCTGTGGCATTGTATAAATGCAGCAAAAATACTAGCTTTTGATAATTTCATATCCTCTTCTGACACTACTTTCTTATCTAAAGTTATCCAAAGCCTAAGACAAGGCAAGCTTCCAACAGTTGAAAAAGCTCAACCAGAAAATGTCATTCTTTATAAAGGCCCCAAAGTATCTGTGCTTATATTTTTGCAGGGTTTTGTGGTTTGTTTGTTGTTGGTTTTGTGGGGGGGTTTTTTGTTGTTTTTTAAAATCAGCAGAAGTGTATACAACTCCCTTTAAGAAATAAAAACACAATCACATACTCCATGTATTTCCAGTATGAGCTAGATTTGTGGCAAACAGCCTGTGAAAGCAGAAGAAATACAGCCTGAAATAAGTTCTTCACACAGGTGTATTCTTGGGGTGCAGATGGTGCAATTTGTATAACCAAAAGATGACCTGCAGAAGTTAATTAATATAAAAACAGTACCTAGGGCACTTTTGTTGGGTCTTAAACTGGTTTCCCACTGCTGCACAAGACACAGGGTTAAGCCTTAACCCAACTCTCTAACTAGAACTCCTGTAGCCAAAGCTGTATCCAGCTCTTTGTCTTGCACAAGGTACATGAAGGTACCTAAAGCCTGAGTCCCCACATCTTCTAAAGGAAAGGGAAAGCTGGATGTACACCTTGTTCTCCCAAACTGGAAAGTGGTCCCAGCCTCTGAGGAGCTTTGATCACCTTGACCTATCTGACCTCAATTTAAGCAGCTTACAGAAAACTATCAGCTGCAGATAACACGTTCTCAAGAACTAAAATAAAAACATTAATTAAAATGAATGGAACTTCCAGGAAACAACTAATAAAACAAGTAACACACAGCATCTCTCAATTTATACATAGTAATTCCAGAAACTGGCAAGAGTATAGGTGCTGGGGCCCTGGCTGTGTTGAATGATTATGAGAAACTTTAGGCAGAAACTTTAGGCAGCTGGAGGAACAGTGAAGGTCATTCCTGTGGGAACTAGTGAAGCATGTAGGTGTAACAATCGGGTAGTAAGGTAAACAGGACGGGGAGTCAGATAAAGGGCTTAAAGTAGGGGCCAATCAAAAGGGGAATGGGGACGTGTGAACAATGTATATTAACCAATTAAGAAGTTTGTTTTGCCACGTGGACAGCGTGCACACTGTCCTGAGACTATATAATCTGCACTCAGCACAATAAACTTGGACTGAACCTACACCATATTGCTGTGCTGTATTCTTTCCCGGCTCGCCACAGATATGGACCACGGCATATAGGGAGTAAAAAGAAACAATTACTGAATTACTAGGCAAGATAAAAAGGTCTTCAACAGCATGTGAAATCATGATAGTATATTCCAATTACTAGCAGAAATTTTCCTACCTGGCTTAGGTGGTGCATGGACAATTTTAGCCGAATGTGATGGTTCTCCAGGGGCTGGTTTGTCTTGATCTGCACGTATCTGAAGGGAACCTGATTCCACCTTCTGCTCATTCACCTCTTCTGTTTCTTCAGTGTCCTTATCTTCATTTTCCACCCGCTCTGTGTGATCCACACTCAAGGGAGTCAGCTCAGACTGACTGACTTGAGACTCACTTTTGTGTGCAAAATCACACACAACTGCATCTTCTATATGGGAATCCATAGGTTCTTCTGTAAATAATGAAAAACTGCACAGGTTAATTTCTCTCTTTATAACCATTGCTCATACTTTGCACAATTAACACTAATATTAAATGAACTTATTTCCAATTTTACAACTGCTTTCCAACAGATCAAGTGACTATTTGGCATCATCTGCAAACAGAAAGCTTTCTTTATGACCCTGAATCACACCAGCACCAACTCATTGATAAGAACAGTTCTATTTTCTCCACAAAAAATAGGGCAGTCAATTTTATGCCATAACTTCAAACAAACAACCAAAAAGACACAAAACCACCCACGCAGATACAAAAGTGGCAAATTGTAATGATTCAGAACCAACACAACAAGTTCCAAAACAATTTAAAATAGCTGGTTTTAGTGTTGGATAAAACAGGTGTGAGGGAAAGCCCTCCTTTCCCTGTTTGCTCTGCCACCCACTGTCCTCCTCAGTCCTCTCCAGATTACCACTTTCATGTCAGAGGAAAAAACAGTGGCTGATTCTCTGTGGCACTCAGAGAGTAAGCACGTGCCCAGAGTAAAAAGAAAACAAGCCAGTTTACACAAAAAGGAAACATGTTCTTCAACAAAGCAACTCAGCTGCAGAGTTTGGTCTCTGGGCTACATCACACTCTTGATTCAAAACAAACTGTAAAGACACAACCAGACCTTTATAAAGGAGCCTCTGTACAAAAATCAAAGCTTTTTAGCCTTTAGATCACTCAGACAGGTATTTGATTCTCCTTTCAAACATTAGGACTGGTTTCCAAACACCAAGAATTTCTTACCTTCATTCGCTGCTTTCGAAACGTCTCCTTTGGAAATAAACTTCAACATTTTCTTCAGAACTTTCTTGTGAGATTTGGAGATCTGAAAATGCAAAGCTTGGCACCTTCAAAAGAAAAAAAATTGAATTGACCTTCCGTGGAAGATTATTTCTGAAAAAAAACCCAACACTTTTAAAAGTTACACTCCATGTAAGCTTTCTAATTATTTCTTAACTTTCCCTAGTGGTGAATATATTAACTTTTGAGTTAATAAACTTATATTTTCTCATACTGCATGATGCAATTCTTTATTGTATGTTTTGTGTGTATATGGTTACAATCACTAAAATCACCTCTCCATCTTACAGATACAGCATCTGGCTGCTGAGGCCAGAACTGAGTATCTGCAATTATTCAAACCTATTCAGCAGGCAAGACTCTCTTATTTGGGCTACTGAAGCAGTGTCTGTGGGACACAGACATACTGGTTCACCTGCAACCAGTGAGCAAGACAGCAATCACAGGACTCTTGTGGTGCAACACAGCAGCAAAAGGCAGGGCTACACACTTAGCAAACTGCTTTCAGAAAAATACCTTGAGCTGCTCAAGTCCCCCTGCACAAACCTAGCAACATCCATTTAGAATCCAAAGTATCATTAGAAGGAGGTAAACTTTTCAAATATTCTGTACTTAAAGCAGTAAGCAAAATGGTTAAATACACACGAAGCAGTCAAATGACTTCCAGTTGCATATTTTGAGCTTCTTACCTTATTGTGTATTGAGGACAACATGTTTGATTCATGATAGGTTTGTAGACGTATTTTCCACTTCTAAAAATAATAATAAATATGTATTGATTTGTTTATTGCTTGTCCTGCAAATAGAAGACTAACCTTTCCTGTTAACATAATACTAAAATATTACCTATTACAAAAGTCTAGAAGCAAGCTCTTCAGCTTTTTGCTGCTATACTAAAATACTAAACTAATACTAAACAAACAGATTATTTTCCTGTTCAACAGTGTCATGTTACAAAAAGCCACAGAGCATTGGACAAATGCATCTATTTCAGTTCCTTATCTGTTTCCACAGACCTTAATTTGAAATAGGATTCAGTTCTAAACTGAACCTGAACTGACAACATGGCCCTGTATTTTTAAGTTTACCTTCGCCATCCTCTATCTATGAGATCCTGGTAATCTTGAACAGTCATGGAATGTGCCCACATACCTGAAACAAATAACACAGTAACACAGTTGAGTGACCACAGTTAGGCTTTAAAACATGAAAATACAGGAAGTTCTAGAGAAATAGGACTGTAAAACTGAGCAGCTAATAGGAAGTTTTGAATGTGTGCGTTCCAGGGATTTGCTATATTCATAAATCTCATTGTGTGGCATTGTAAGGAGCAATTTGTGTGTGAAGAAAACAGAAACAAGGTAAACCTTGGGATGCGACCACCTGTTTTGCTCCCACTACACAGGTTGGCAGTTTAACCTCCCCACTCGCTGCGCGTCCCGGAGATACACCAAGAGAACCACACACAGTCAGAGCCACGGGCCATGGCCAGGAAAGCCCCTGAGCCCGGCTGAGCCGGGGGCCTGTCCCCTGTTCCCTCCGCTGAGCCGGCTCAGCCTCACCCTGCCCAGCCGGGGGCTGAGCCGCACCGGGGCAGGTAACGCGCTTAGCCGGGGTGAGCCCGGGTCAGGCGCACCTGAGGTCCCAGCTCACCCGTGACAAAGCCTCCCCGTCACTCCCGGAGCACCGAACC